AGTTTACCTTGTTGGAGTTGGTACTTCAAATACTTGATAACTTCTTCTTTCACTTTCCTAATGTTTTAGGCCGACTGTCAGTCAATATTGAAAAATGGGATGTGCTGCTTCTGGAACAGTAATAATGCGACTGGCTTGAGAGTTTTTGATTTCCTTGTTGTGAAGCGTTATTTGTTTATTCGGAATTGTTGTGTCGTCATCAACAATGCCAACAGAAATTTGTTTACACGGCATTGTTGTGTTCCACAACAATGTCGAATAAACAAATATCTGTTGACATTGTTGATGACGACATTTTTGGATTTTTGGATTATTTGTAGTGAAGCGTTATTTGTTGACATTGTTGATTGATGACGTAATTTATTGACGACGACGAAATCACAAATTTTTATAATAGATAGATAGATAGAATATTGTTGATACACAATGTGATTCAAGAATTTGTATCAATTTTTTCCCGACGAAAATTCCAGCCAGAAACATTCTATCGCCATCGGTTGTGTTATTAGTGGCTATAAAGTTATGAGTATGTGAAATTCAAGAATTAATTTTACATTAGTAAGCTCAATTACTAAACAAGTTTTTACAATTTGCAATTGACTTTATAACATATGTTTCAAGTATCCACAGTCAGCATGGATACTCATGTTTCTACGAAATGTGTAATCCTCAAGAACTTGATTACAACCATTTACGTATCTCCCAACATGCATAATTTAATAAAGTTGTCTGTTCTGTTCTGATTTTCATTTTCACGCATGATTTCGCATGACTCTACGGACATAAATATAGAAGGTTCAGGCCTATTGATCTGTAGCGGCCATTTTTCCAGACATTGCTACGTGGCCAATGCACTTATGATACACATATTTATGTAACTTCATCGCTTGTCAATTAAAAAATGGAGGCATCACATCATGCTACAGATACATATATAACTACCTTCCAAGAGGTGGGAAAAGTCATTTGGCAGAAATATAACAAGATTGACACCTATAAGACGACCCTAAAATATGAATTATCGATAAGTTGACTGCCAACAGAACAACACGAGGTTTCACAAGAGACGATAAATGAATGAATATAAGGTTATTCACTGTTTATTGTGTAAATTGTAGAGAAATATATTACTCCAAAGAAAGGCTATGAATTTTATTGATTCTTACTTTCCTTAAAGCTACTAGTTTTGTGAAATTTTATTTTATAGATCTTCGATCAATCATGACATTTGTTGTCACAGGTACATAACGTAGCGTAAGATGACAACGTGTTATGCTGATAGCCTTATTATGTTAGAACTTAAAAAAATAAACTACAGACAAATGATACACTGTGTGCTCAAGAAAAACAGTAAAATTGAATTAGCAAAATTTGGATGTGGCTTAGCTCTCCTTCCTCGATTCCACTACACAATTCATCAATCACAAATAAACGTTTAACTGCTGACAACAGTGCTGTTGAAGACTGAATGTATTAGACATGTACGTACGCTTTTGAATGCAACACACATGCAGATTCCATAAGCAAATAGTTCAGAAAAATGATGGATTCACTTTTCAAGTAAACTTGATAATATTAGGTTCAAAGTAAAATTCAAATTTATACTTAAATAAATTTAAGTATGTTTCCCTTTTAGTTTCGGCTGAACCATTCGTGAGGCCCTGTCTGACATACATTAGCGAAGACTCTTAAGAGTAAAATACACGAAATGCATTTTTAGTGTTCTTAAACATTGTATTTCTCTAGCTAATACTGACACACGATTCAAGTAAGTCTCTTTTCTTTTAGTTGCAAATCCTTATCACTGGTAATTACCGAATTAACACCAGAGTTTAATAGTGACAATGAGACCCAACAGTACACAGTCTGCCGTCAACAACATCTTTTCATGGAAGGCATTTAAAAATTACTTATTTTCCTCAGGCTTTTAACAAAAATTTCCTCAATTTGTACTTCGTTATTCTTGGTCTTACAAAAAATACGGCAATAATTAAAGTGAAAAAGGCAACTCCAGCGCGAGGCCCTGGGCGTCCTACACCCCTCCCCCTCCGCCGCTGCTTCCAACGTTTTGTTTACATTGTTTACGATTAATTTTCTTCAACAATCACAACAATACCAGTAACACGTGCAGTGCAACTGAAAAGAGCATTGTTGCTTTCGAAACA